CTCACCGCCCTCACGTCCCTCACCGCCCTCACGGCCCTCACTCACTCATGGCCCTCACGACACTCACCGCCCTCACGCCACTCACCGCCCTCACGGCCCTCACGCACTCATAGTCCTCACGCCACTCACGGCCCTCACAGCCCTCACGGCCCTCACGCACTCAGAGCCCTCACGCCACTCACCGCCCTCACGCCCCTCACGCACTCATGGCCCTCACCGCCCTCACGCCACTCACCGCCCTCACGGCCCTCACCGCCCTCACGGCCCTCACGCACTCATAGTCCTCACGCCACTCACCGCCCTCACCGCCCTCACCGCCCTCACCGCCCTCACGGCCCTCACGCACTCACAGCCCTCACGCCACTCACCGCCCTCACGCCCCTCACGCACTCATGGCCCTCACCGCCCTCACCGCCCTCACGGCCCTCACCGCCCTCACCGCCCTCACAGCCCTCACTCACCCTCACTCACCCTCACACTCATGAATTTTCCTGGTTCAGAAACTCACTCACCCTCACCTCACCTGTGAAGATGAGGGTGAGTGAGGGCCCTCATGAGTGAGGTTTGCCGAGGTATGCTCGAAAATTGTGGTGGCACTATCCTTTCTGAAACTTGGGTTTCAGACCGACACTACGTGAGCAGTTGATTTAGGGAAGCTTAAAGACATTGCCTTGGCAGACATTCTGGTTGCAGCTAGTGCTTAACTGCTGCGGCAACGGGAAGAGCGGCTTAAATCAATGGAGCGAGTACGTTGCAAACAAGCGACAAAAATGGCCCGGCGGCTTCGACGCTGCTCGCGGCGTCAAAACACTGTTGACGCAGCGATCGAAACGAAAGCTGTCAGGCAAGTTCGTCTGTTGTTCGCCGTATATTTGGAATGTCTAGAGCGCAGCACATGCGGCATTGCCAACCCAAACTTGTGTTTTCACGTGTTCTGGATGCAACTCGAGAGAACGAAAGCGAATAATTGTTGAATATTTATGAAAGCATGTTGCAGTTCTGCAACTATAACTTTTAAACTTAGATAAGACCTTAAACCAGCAATGGATCCTTCCAAATTATATTCAATTGCAATTCGTCTGGATATTTTCTGTGTGAAAAGAACACTTGTTTCTGGGTAGTTAGCTCATTCGTCAGGGTCGAGAGGACAGGTGCAGAGATATGATGGGGCAGAGCGGTTGTCCGGTCGGCGAATCTCAACTGGGCTAAAGGCCGATCACGACTGCAGCATGGATGTTTAGGAGTCGGTGTTCACTCGAAGGGGCACAGGCACTCTCTATTTAATTTATGTATAGTCGGATCTTTGAAAAGGCTCGTTTTCCCCAAGTCCCTTAAGTAGGGAATTCGAAGCCGCAGTCGGAAACCAGCAAGCCCCGCCTCTGTTCCATTAGACACACACGTATTCGCTCCTGCAAAGCCGCGCGAAAGCTCTGCCATCAATCCACAGAAGCCGCGTTTAACTCAAAAAGTAAAGACGGCGCCAAGGGGAGACAAGGGGTAGCGAACGCCTTTCCTAAAATATGTCCTGCCACCCTAAGTTGAAACGGCATTGTATACGAATAAATGCCTACGGCGTCGGCTTGAGGACCCCGTGTAAGCTAGGATGCCTTCATGAGCGCACATGAAGGCTCCCTAGCGTAAGCAGCCTCCAGCCTTTAGAGTGCTCGTACCGTTTATCTTTCTTTTATTAGCTTCCCGCCACGAGAAGTCGTACCGCAGGCAGTATGAAGCCCATTAGAGAAAACATCTCCCCCTTCTGGCGCTCGTCGGCTTCTTTCTGTATTCCGCGCTGCGGCGCTGATCTGATCCTCAGTGAGGGATGGAGGCGAGGACGAAAGCGGGCTTATGTTTAAGCCAAGGTCGTGGGGAAGTCCGGAGCGTCTTCAGGAGAAGCTCAGACCCAGACTACACTGTACCCAGAGCATTTGCTTCCTCTCTCAGTTGAAAAGAAAAGCAATTGGTCACCTGGTTGTACAAGCTGCATCCTGCGTCGATTGCTTACGTTTTTTCTTCGAGCTGACGAAGAACCCCGGGGGGGGGTGCCTGGCGAGGCGTTTGGGGGGGCGATCGCCCCCACCGCCCCCCCCTTGGATCCGCCGGGAGGCACTCACTTGATCGAATGACGTTTTAGCGAACGCCCACGTTTCATCGAACGACACTTTAGCGAATAGTCGGACGCCGCGAAGCGGCGTTTTCGGGTGGGCCAAGTGAGCTCATATTTTTGTAATGAGTTGCCGCAGACTGTCGCCGCGAAGCGGCGTAAAGCGCAGCGCGACGGATGGGTTAACGCGCGCCCCCGTTATTCGCTAAAAAGACCATTCGCTCAAATGTCGCCGTTCGCTAAAATGTCATTCGCTCTTGTGATATGGACCCGGATCCGCCACTGCAAACGACACCGCTATTTTAGAACCCCATAAATTGCCGGAGCAGTATAGAAAGAGAGAACAGTGCAATTTATTAGAAACGAAAGAAGGGGTCCACCGTGCACATCGGTACTGGTTTGGTGATTGGATGAGTCAATTCAGGGACGTTCAGTGCTTGTATGAAGGCAGTGATGTGATTGCTGCGCCAATTGCGCCAAACTGCGCCAAGGGGTGAACCCTGCTACATCCTGCTACATTTTGCCAAAATATGGGTAAACTGCGCCAGGCCTGCGCCAAAAGATCAATTTTGGTCGTCTTTCAAAACCGAAACTAAACTGAGTACCGTAACTGAGCATACATGAGCTAGGTAGCGCAAGCGGCCGCCCAACAAAAAGTACCCTGTATCAATCGTCCATCCGGTCTTGCATAGTTTTTCCCGCCACCTCTCGTTTCATGCTCTCGTCGTTCATGTGTCTCGTCTACACCGTGGTCTCGTCTCGCGTCTTTTTAAAAACAATTTCAACGATAGACGCGGGCGTGTGTTGACGCTTCAGTGCTTCAGTCGTTGTACAAAGCGCTCCAAGTACATTTTTGACCCTGACTCGCGATGTATTGTTTTGACCTGACTCGCTCAGGTCCTTTTCTCTGTGCGTTTAGCTTGTACCTCGCCTGCCGGCCTGGCAAGCACTTGCTGCTGGACTGTTTTTTGTCGTATGCTGGACAATTACATTTTGCATACAATTTTGGGAACCAGTTGGCGACGGAGCGGATTGGCGTGGTGTCTGTCTCGATCGAACAGCCATCTCCGCTCGTGCGACGAAGCACGTGCAAATGCAAGCCTGCCGAAGTTGCCCTCATGTGCATGCGAACATGACTGCACGACAGAGGCACCAGCCGGGACACTTGCAACCCATTGTTTTATGTTTGCTTACTTTTCACGAAAATCTGGCACGTCGGGAACAAGTTAAACGGTGGCAAGCGGTTTTTCGGAATCGCTCGGCAACGGCCACAGTACTGTTCACTTGTGGGATGTCTCAATGTCTCTTTGGAGACATTGAAAGTGGGAATTCATTACTAGTCAAAGGCAAAGCGAGGCTTGCAGCATCCTTGTACTAGAAAGTTTCGAAAAGCAAAAAGAAAAGCACCTTTGTCTTGTGTACAATTTTGCATTGCACTGCAGTAACGTGTTTCACCAGTCGGAGACTGCTTCCATTTATTATATTAGATAACTACGGTAGTCAACCTACTAGCTTATTCCCTAATATACCAGCTTATTTACTAATAAGCTGGTCATTTTCAAACAAATTTTAATATGTGCAGTTTGGTTCTTATTTATCGATAACGGTACATATATATGTATAATTTAACTAAAGCATTGCAAAATGTGTCATGTCATTGGCATTTCAGTTACATGTTGAAAGACACCCAGGTGGTTGAACTTGACCATAATTTGTTTATTGCGGCGAGTGAAGTGCCTTTTGTTCGTCCAGCACTTAAAACAAGTATTTTTATTTTTCTAAGAATATTTGCTCCAAAAACCACATTTGCTGCTCCGAAACACTGTTCTGGCTGCTTCAAAAGCAACTTTTGTTGCTCCAAAACACTGTATTACCTGCTCCAAAGGCCACTTTTGCTGCTCCAAAACACCGTTCTGGCTGCTCCAAAAGTTGCTCCAAAACGGCTTAGGTCAATCACATCACTGTGAAGGCTTCCTAGAGGCCGTTTCATTCACATAATGTGATCCTTCCAAGAAAAAAAACGAGTAAACTGACCTTGTAGTATTTTTCTTCGTTGTTGAATTCATTCATTCCAGATCTCAGTTTAGTTGGTTAAATTATTCATATCCTTTTCATTAAAAGTCTCTATATAGCAGCTTGTGTCGGTATCATTCTATGAAGTCTGTTCGTAGACGATAGCGTGGCACCTCAACAGGACCCCGTTGAGCAAAATGACTGATCTTGTTGAGGCGAATGAAGTGCCTCATGAACGAAGGCAACAGTGAGAGTGAGAGACGCACCCACTCATGAATGTTTAAGTCCTCACAAAGGAAAATGTGTCTAACGAATTTAGCAATGTTTCTATTAGAGCCCCGTCTGTCTTCACTGACGTACTCGGCAACTCTGGGCATTTCCGTGCCCAGCGCCAGTGCTCACCATTAATAAAACGCAGTCTTAAAATGTTTGAGTCGTGTATACACTCTGTGCAGGATTATCTCTCTAGAAATTATTAACTATACGAGAAGGGCGCGAACTTCTGTCGCGATGAACAAAGAAGGTAGTGCTCCTCGGCCAGACTAGTAACTCTAGCGCGACTAACATCACCGACATAAAAAAAAAAAAACTAGCTTTTCAGCAACTTAGTTTTTTCAAAAAGGTTGTTTACGTTAAAACGTAGAAAACACAATCAGCAGGCCGTGTTTGGCTCGCCTCCGAGCAGCGGTTGCTGATGTTAGCTTGGAGAGACTATGCTGAGCTGTCGATGAGAAAGCTGTCGTAAAATTTCCAAAAATATATATTTATTATTGGCGCAGTTGGTTCTGTGATTGTTTACTCAGACTTCTTTTCGAGCGTGTTCTAAGAGCCATGTTAACAGGTAAAAAGAAAACTAAAAAGTTATACTTCTCTTATTTGTTTGCAGCACAGTCAACAAGCTGCAAAGAGCAGCATGAACAAAATGAACCGGAAAAGATGTCCAGCCACCAGCAAGCTGACGACTGCGCCACTTCACCATGCTGTGCCACGACGCCAAATTGTGTGCCAACGCCAAGCCACATCGCTGATGCACCAGATGAGCCTCCGAGATTTTGCTCAACGCTTTCCACCAACCAGAACCAAATGTCTGACGACGACCCGTCGCTGCCAATGCCGACTAACGACCTGGACTAGCAAGCCAGGCAAGCACGGGGTCCTTTTCAGCCTCATCTGGGCAGCTATGCCCAAACAGAAACGAATAATCGAAAGCGCAGCTTTTGTGAACACTGGTTTGCAAAGTTCAGCTGGCTTGAATACAGTCCAGCAAAAGATGCAGCCTTTTGCTTTTGTTGTCGGGCGTTTCCGCCGGGCAGTGCTACCAAAGCACATTTAGACCCATCCTTTGTTTCAACTGGGTTTCGAACTTGGAAGAAAGCGATAGAAAGGTTTAATCAGCATGAAAGGTCTGAGGGCCATCTTAACAGTGTTGTGTCATGGAATTGCTCCAAAGCAAACAGATTGATTGCTTCAATGCTGGATGAAAGCTTTGAACGACGAGCGTCTCAAGTTGAAGAAAAACGAAAACAAAATCGTGAGGTGCTAAAGCGCCTTACTGACATCGTTGTTCTTCTCTCAAAGGGAGGAAGGCCATTCAGAGGGCACAGTGAAAATAAGGAAAGCGCAGAGCAAGGTCTATATTTAGAGATAGTTAATATCTTAAAGAAGTATGACCCCATTTTGCGGGGCCATTTAGAGTCAGGCCCAAAAAACGCCTCCTACATCAGCAACAGAATACAAAATGACATCCTAGAGTCACTGCATGCAGCCATTTTTTCTTCGATTGTCCACCGCATAGAAGGTAAAACAGTCTCGCTCATGCGCGACGAAACAAGTGACTCCAGTCATCATTAACAACTCTCCGTTGTTATTAGGTACTTCTGCGAAATTAAGAACAGGCCAGTGGAGGTCTTCCTTACTCTCGACAGGCTTAAAAATTTAGACAGCGACTCTGTGTTTTCCACATTGCAAGCAGTTCTCAACACAATCAATGTTTCCTGGAATTCTGTGAGTTTCGTCTGCTTTGACGGGGCTTCTACTATGTCAGGGCACGTTGCTGGCGTTCAAGCAAAGTGCAAAGAGCAGAACAACAAGCTCGTCTACGTTCACTGCTATGCCCACAGCTTAAACCTGGTGCTTGTCGATGCATGCTTGTCTTGAGCAGAAAACAGAATGATGTTTGATTTCTTTGGCGTTGTGCAACTTGCGTACAACTTTATTGAAAACAGTGGTGTGCGCCATGCTGTTTTTGAGCGAATTTTCCAAACTGTCGGCACACAGCTGAAAACTTTGAAGTCTTTGTCTACAACCAGATGGGCATGTCGTGCTGAAGCAGTAAAGGCCAGTTCGCTGTGAGAGCTACAGCGAACTGTCGAGTGCAGTAAGAACGATTGTGGACTCCACAAAGCACCCGGAGACGAAAGCAAAAGGCAAGGGACTCCTTTCCCAGGTGATGAGCTTTGACTTTGTCTGCAGCATGGAAATAGCTCACCCTATTCTACAGCTTATTTTGAAGGTTAGCCGAGCTCTTCAGGACCCTAAAACTAACCTTACCACTGCACTCAATGAAGTCAGGCATCTGCAAAAAGCGCTGCGAGAGATGAGGTAAGATGTGACAGTCTTTAAAAAGATGTTTGCGGAAGCTTCTTCGATCTGCGAGATGAATGCAATTGAGATTCCCGAAGTTCGAAGAAGAAAGGTATCGAAGCGATTTGACCAAAACTGGTCGAATGAATGTTTCTATGCGACAAAAGAGGAGGAATTTCGTGTCGGTGTTTTCTTTCCGATGCTTGACTCCTGTGTTCGAGGGATCGAGGAAAGGTTCACACAAGAAACTTTTGAGCTTGTGTGTGCTCTCCAGAACCTTTTGGGCCTCTCTGTGAGCGACGAGCAAATATCTCTTATTTGTAGCTTTTTGAGGTAGATCCCGACAGCTTGGGTGCTGAAATGCAACTCCTGAAGTCCCGAACCAGCGACGAAAAAACAAACAGCATGACCGCCTATGACTGGCTGGATTCACTCAAAGAAAATGGGTTGGACAAGTCAGTATTCAAGGACTTTTCTCGCGCTCTTCAACTTTTTTCCACGATTCCTGTAACCAGTTGCTCGTGCGAAAGGACATTTTCGAAGCTCGCACATGTAAAGACCAAGTTAAGATCCATGATGTCGCAGAAACGGCTTCGTTGGCTGATGCTGCCCTTTGTGGAGCAGGACCTAGCAACATCCATCAGTTTTGATAATATCTTAAAGCATTTTACGACTAAAACGCGCAAACTTTTGTTATGAATGTGTTTTAATTCCGCAGGATATGCTATTGCATTAACCTACAATGTCACATAATTCTACTTTATCCTTAATTGGTTGACAGCCGGCGGAAGAGGGTGCTTTACAGCCGATTCCGTCCGAACTAAGGTTCGCCTCTCACACCGATAGTATTTTTGCACAGCTCAGCTTGAATAGTACTTTTGTATAGTGTAGTTAATTTTACTGTGTGTTACTGTTTTCATTTGCACCAGCCCTGTTGTTGTGTTGTGTTAAATTTTTTTTTAGAGTACCGTTTGTGAATTGAAATTGTGTATCGTCTGAGCCCTCGTGCGATTCATTTTCTTTCTGTGTTTTGTGATGGCGCTTGTGCCCTACGAGTGCAAGCTGTGGTTTCTTTATCGTGGGGGTCTCCACTTTTGTTTGGCAATAAATCGTTTTTGTTGTTAGAAAAGTTATCTCATCTTCTTATTTCTCCCACACTTCAAAGCGCATGTAAGTCCACTTTCACGCAGAGCACTCGCAAATCCAATTACTGCGGTCTACGAGGATATGGATACAATGACACGTAACAGTGGCAAGTATGATGTTTTGTGGCATTACATCATGTTCGGTGTCACAGCTCAGATTTAATTTTTGGGTTCAAACATATTTCAAGCCTTATCATTCTCCAGGCTCCATTCGTAAACTGCAATAATTAGACTTCCAAGTAATCTGCGGGAAAGTAAACTGAACGGTAGTTTTATAGTGACACTGAAGTAAACTTGGAAGTCATATTTCGCGGTTAAAATATGGTGTTCTAGTGCACTCCTACTAGGGTACACTAGAACACCTTACCCCCAGAGCCTTACCCCTACGGCGTAAGGGTCTCGGTGAGACGGGGGTGAGGGGGGGGGGGGGCGCTGCAGTGAATTTGGCCCCCCTATAGGAGGACCCTGTGCACGCCTATGATCTTGCAGTATGCTTTGCATGTTATATTTCTCAATTTAGAAATGATTAAGTCTTGATATATTGATTGGAACATGTCATAGCATCAGTAAACCTAAGATGCAAGTGACAGAGAGGAGATAAAAAAAAAGAGGGACAACACACACACCATCCCGTTCAGTGTTGTCACTTTTTTTTTGTGTCTTCTCCTTTCGGTCCTCCTGCGCCTAAGATTTAGTAATGTTTGAAATTCACGGTCTTGCCTGTGCCGTGATATGTTACAATGTCTGCTATGTTACAAGTCAAGAGAGATGCCTAAATAGTTGCCATAGCACCCTATTTATAATGGCATGCAATAGCGTTTTAAATGTGTGGGATGTGTATGGGGGGGGGGGGGGGTATGTTGCCATGACGAAAATTGTATAAATTATAGGAGGCATGTTGTCTCTAAAATGTTGTGTTTTATAAACTTTACTATAACTTACCTGATGCAGCATAAAATGCCCCAAGTTAACTTCTTTGCCTTCCTTTCTGCACTTCCTTCTTCCTTCTAATGCAGCAGTAGTCACTACTAACCATTCATGTTTTTAACTTTCTGTGACGCATAACACATCATTTCGATGCATTTCTACTACCCGCCATTGTGATAGGCGTTTTCAATGTTGTGACGTAACGGTTTGCTGATTGGTGCAAATGGCTTACTTAAAGTTCAAGCTATAACCGCTTGGGGAATAATTGGCACTGGCGGCGGCCCTTGCGCCTCCCAATGGCCCAAAAAGTGATTAAGAACATATCAAGCACCCAGGCCAGTAAACTTCTGAATGTATTGAATGAAACAAGGCGCCCCTACGCATCAACCACATTTCCCAGTGCGCTGGTGCAGAGCGGTGAAGCTTTCCATGCTCACTCCGGTAAGAAGCAATGAAGCTTCACATGAGAGTGCCAGCACAAAGCTGGCTGGATGCAAGCGGTGCAACTGCTTTAAGAAAATAGGGGTCCCACCAGACTACAACACTGCTCCTGCACCGTTCTGACTTTCAGCGCTGGAACCTGCAAAGTGCCCATCCCATATTTTTTACAATTATCTCCAACCATTTGATGAGCGCTTTCTCAATATTTTACGGCACATAGCTTCTGGTAGGAATGCCAGTTTCTTTGTCTTAAACACCAGCTGGTGGAGTACCTGCGAAACTCTTGAAAACCCATTGACAAACTTGGGGATTATGATTCTAACCCATTGTTCATAAAGCGATTGTGGTAAGATTTGTTTGTTATACCAAGAGCACAATAACACTGATCTTGGGAAGCTGTTTTTAACCACATTTTGATATCATACATGCATAACATGCCATTTACTGCAAAATTAACAGGACACCTGAGCATGGTAAGTTATCTTGAGTATTTATCATTCTTCTGTTCTTTTTGGGATGAGTTTTGAGTGGAATCCCCTTGCTTGAATGGGAACAATATAAGGCTTAAAATTTCACTGTTAATTATTTTTCAGTAATTTTTAATACATTTTAAATAAACTTTTTATTAGTAATGAAAGCCACAGGACTTGTTTATATGAACACTTCTTTTTACTGTAGGCTGCAAGTCTGCAAGCAAATATCAAAACTTACCGATTTTAAATTAAGGAGTGCACAAATCATTCTTCTCTAAGAAGCTTAAAGGCTTTACTGAAGATTGGTACTCGGATAACTGACACTGCCTCACACTCTTTATAATAAAATGTCATGCTTTTGCTTCAACATTTGTGGTACACTGTTTCCCCTCTAATGTGTGGTACATGCCTTAATGCTTTCTGTAACTCTAATGGGATGTCTAGACCACCAAGTGGAGAAAGGTAATGTACTCCAAAATTTATGAAGGGGCAATAGGCTCTCAGAATTTATTGTTAAAGGTTTGCCGTTTGTCACCAGATTTAAAAAAAAAAAGTGTGCACAAGAAGTTGCGCCTATAATGGTAGAAGAGTGGCGTAGTAATTCCGTAAACACAATAATTAGGAGGTGCATCCACCAAGGACACGCTGTCGATATAATTGAGCATCCAAAACAACAATGTTATTCTTCTATGTATCATCATTGGTGCAATTTCCTGCACTCTTTCCAGTGCGCCATTTGACCGTTAACCAACAAAGTTGCTCTG